TTCAGGTATACTACCTCGCAGCATGCCAATAACAATCGTTGATCGAATTTGCGACCGAATTTGAGTCTACAAACCCCCCAAAGGCCATGGGAACATTTTTGCTTTTCCCTTTGGCAGCCGCCGTGGGATCAGAAAAAAGTCGAACTACGCTGCCGGAAACAGGTGTTTCAGAAAGGTCAAACGAGGTCAAGTTGTACTGCTTTTCATTCTTTTTAATTTCTTCGTTTCCTTGTGTTTTTCTTGGTTTCTTTTTCCTGATGGCCAAAAATGTATGGTTTATGTGCTTCGGGGTGTCCTAGCGGGAGTCAAAGAATAAACCGCTTCGAAAACATGGGATCGACTCCTGAAGAGACACGGTGAATTAGGGAGAAAAAACTCATATTTCAAACCGTTTATTTTGCAAATGTATGTTCTAATTCCGAGCTTTATAATTTTGATCGCCAGAAACACTCACAATCGGAAGTCAAATACAAAAGTCACGTACAGTTACACGTATCATAATTTGGTTTCATTATATACTAATAAAATGTCACAATGACACTTTTCCCGGTCAAAATGACTTTTTTGGGTGTCAAAATTACACTTTTCCAGGTCAAAATGACACATATTTGACCAATTGTCCATGTCATTTTGACCAGGAAAAATGTAATTATGACCCGGAAAGTGTCATATACTCTGAAAAGTGTTGGTTTAACCCGGTAAGTGTCATTTTGACCCTGAAACGTGTCATTTTTACACGGTACAGTGTCAGGCCCCATAGTACTCAGATTTCGGGTCATATCAGAAGTGGGACGTTTTAAAGTGACTGTATAAGCAAACTTGTAAGTTTTAACGTCATTACCTCATTATAAAACAAAGTGTAATAAGTAATGTGCGTCATTACCTCATTATAAAACAAAGTGTAATAAGTAATGTGCGTCGATTCTTTTGTTCTATTTATTTATTTAATAAACAGCTTTTATCATTTCATTTTCGGCAAAATCTATGAGTTAAGTAGGTCAAAAATTAACCAGCAAAACATGATGGAGACTGTCTTGTCCCCTTTATGAACGATGTGAACCGTCATGCAGAAGGGAGGTTCGCCTTAAATAGCAGGAACGGAGTGCGTCTATTTTGTACGGTTTTGTGCCTGGATGCCGCACTGTTATCAAAAAATATTCGTCTCTCTAAAAGATTTAAAAGACCGTTTCACGGTCTTACACTTCACGGTATTACACCGGCCAAGCATTATGTGTCATAGAAATAGCAGTGCCTTCCGTCAGCGGTAGCGGCTGTCGATGATTGCCGAATAACACCAAGCAGCAAGTGTAAGAGCCTTGTCCAAACTTGCTGTGTTCGTTTGTTGGCCTCTCGAAAGAGGTATGAAATATGACACTGTTGAGGATATGTATACCACCGACTAAGCAAGGGTGAAGCTTCGGAATGAAATTCTCAAGCAAGAGATATTTTCCTTTTATCACCAACAACAGCCGCTATAAAGACAGAACTCGCAATCTATTTCCAGGAGACCGGTGTTATATTACATCACAATCATAATGTCGCAATTTGAGACCTGAACCCTGAGGGATTTTAATTTAGAAGCATGGTGTGCTTCATTCAAGGAAATATATCGACATCTCAAAACGTTTTACAAGCCCCATAAATCTATCTCCAATATTGGACCTCCTCCCTTTTGAGCCGCTCAGGTAAGTAGGTTCAATATCGAATACCCAGTGGAAAAAAGTCTAGAATTCAAATTCGGGAAACAAATGTTAAGGAAATTTAGCAAGCATCGCTGTGTGGCTCTATTAACTACGGAGGAAGTGCAGTATTTGAGACACATTTATGAAACTAACAATTTATCGTCGAGTGTGTACTATTGGGCTAATGTGTAGATTTTACCAAAACGCAGATGCCTATCTTTTCAAATAAAACAAATAAAACTTTCACGCATGCGTTCCACAGTGGCGTAACAATGGTAAACTTCTGGGGGGGGGGGGGGGGCACCAAGGGTGCATATTTTTTTCAAGGGGGGGGGGCACTGAAGGCAAATAGTATATAAAATATTTTCAATTCCAGAGTTTGAACGGGGACAGACGGGGGCACGGATCATCTGCTGGGGGGGGGGGGGAGCACGAGGTGTTACGCCACTGGCGTTCCACCATATTGTTTCAATTGCAATTTCCTTTTGGTTGTCACATGTGCCCCCTTCATTTTTTCACCTTTCACAAAGGTTGACTCATTAGAAGCTTTCGTTAGGTTGCAATATAACTAATTGATTTTAAGATAACGCTAGTTGTGTCACTACATTTTCCCCTGGTGTTTTTATACAACGAATATTTCAATACAATGTATTACATTAACATTGATAAACATCGCTGCTTTTTCGTTTACATTAAAAGTAATCCACGTAGGGCATGTGCTATTTGTAAAACTCAGGTGGCCGGTTAAATAACACATTATCTCAAACGGTGCAAATGGGTTTCGTACAATTTTGGGGAATGTGTCACATTTGTCCTGTGACCGAGAAAGATCGCGCCTGCCTGATATGGATTTTTGTTTGTCCTGTTTGCCTCTTGCTGAGCTTTTTATATCCATTCGGCAGTCCACAAATTGAGTAATTTTAAGTTCGACTTTGTTTGGTATGTAACAAAAAATCCACATGATCTAACAATCTTGTTATATTCTCAGACAATTCTCCCCTCCCCCTCTAAAAAAAAAAGAAGTTTAAACATTACAAAGACAGGTGTTCTGATTTGTAGTTTGTTATACACTTGCTTCATTCCAGCGAAAACTGTATCAGAGAATCCACTGGGTCGTCTGCAAAATAAATACTGCAGAAAGAACAGAGAAAGGTAGTTCTAAAATTAGCCCGATATTGAACCACAAGCCGCGATTCAACAGGTGTGGAGCTAAGCCAATCAAAGCAAACATGTTTTCCCTGCTACTTTGCGTGGGTGTGACGGTGATGGGCACAGTTTGTACCGATATGATGACAAACCTTCCGGCGGGCGCAGTGTGATCTCCCGCCTGCTTTGGTGTTTCCTACCTGTGTTCGCATTCCTAAAGTACGTGTTACCTTACCTGAAATCTTGTTCCCAGTGGTCTACTTTCAACCTTGAGATTTAATAGTATGCCCTGGGATGGAAACTTGCTTCCTTTATTCTAGCTTGATAGCGCAATAGCAAGTAATGGATTAATATCGTGTACTTTAGTGGTTTTATTTCCAATGTGTATAACGTGGTTTTACGTTTATTGTGAATCGTAACGTCTAATCCTTCTCACAGAAAACAAATTTCGTTGACTTATACTTATATTTTGTGTATGTATGTACCCTGGACGCCGCATACAAGAAACACTCTGATTTAAAGACTGCTAAGGAACCTAATTATAATATCCTTGTTCATCGATATTTCACAATCATGTGTCATGCTGTTTTGTCCTGATAAAATATTGCACATTAATTATTCATAAGGTGGAATTTGCGTCGAGGTGATGTAAACATTGAATGCACAAAAAATATAGCACATTTCAATACAACATAATGCTAAAAAATGGCCCACATCTCAATAAATATGAGAGAGAGTATTTTTTGTATAAGATTTACTTTCTTGACCGTGTATTTTAGATACCTTTAAAAAAAAAAATTCTACATTGTATTTATGACACAAGAAAATTCCATAGGGGAAAATGCTCGATATAGCGCCGCCCAAAAAAAGTTCACCCAAATCGCTGCACACGACAAAGTTAAATTTAGCATCAGCGCAAATTGAGCGCATTATTTTTGGAACTCATGTCTCACATGAAATACCGCGCTAAATTTAAAACTAGCCCCCAGAATAGCAAATGCACTATCACGAGAATTTCGGTGACAGCACGAGTAAACGAGTCTGCGTGTGTAAGAGAACGAAATGTGAGGTATTCAGCTCCCTGTAGTGGGAAAAAAAATAACAACAGAGCGGCACGGAACCAGACATCGGTTTTACGGAAATACCGACCCGCTGCGGACCACAGCCCGCCGCAATACGATCCGTCGCTCCGGAAATGTTACATGATGTCAGGAATTTTGCTACTTGCTAGTTTTGCTATATACAGTGTATATCGATTGCACGGCGGTATTGCCCATATTGTTTTCGGCGTAATTATACAGGGACGGATGGAACTTCTTTCAAATTGTCCGAGTCACGATCGGAATTTACTCCCAGGTGAAATTAAAACTGGTCAGACGGACTTTTTTTTTCTTCTTTTTTAACGAAAGACAATGTTGGTCGGCAGAGCACGTGTACTTTGACTGATCCCCCCGCCCACCTGCGGTCGAGTGAAATTTTTGAGATATGGTTGAGGAAAGACATGCCATTGTGCTGGGCACATCGCTGGTTAGAGATTATATTTGTACCGCATCCTCCGTTGGGATGACTTTTTGAGGTACAATCCACACTGCGTCGCGTCACGTGACGGATCCAGCATTTACGGAAAGGGGGTGGGGGCGCCCAAATTGAGGCGTAACCGGAACATACAAGTGGGGCATATCATGTGGCTGAAAATATCTGTTTTGAAGTGATGAAATAAGCAGTTGACAGCCGAGAAACAGGGGGAAAAAGACAAGACCTTAAAACAATTTGAAATAAGGGCGAGGGGGAGGTGCCGGCTGCGCCCCCCTCTGGATCCGCTATACTGGCGTCCGAGGATTAAGAAAAAAGTTTCCTCCTAACCATATTATTCAAATAAAAAATGCTTTGACGAACAAAAAACAGAGCCAAAACGGACTAAAGGACCACACTTGAAGAGAGCTTATGTCTTACATGACTATAACGTATGACAGTAGTGCGCTGTGCTGCGTGGCAATCCTTTCATTGGACTTCAATCATCATGAATTTTGTAGTTATGTCGCATTTCATTTCTCGGAATTCCATTCACAAGGGCTACAGCTTAAAAAAAATAATGGTAAATTTTTAATAAGGAAAACTGAATGTGAATAATCCAAGTATATGGTGTGTGTGTACTTTTTGAATACCATGCAGCTTCTCCCGTGCCACCAGTGGAGGTTGGCGGGCCTTCAAAATCTCCCCTGTCGACAGAGGGCGTCTGTACGTCACCCGAGTGTGTAGTCGCAGGTGCGTCACATAACATTTCAATTCTTCGAAAGCCACCCTAATTCGGGGTAATTGTAAAGATAATGCTTGCTGGGTATTAAACCAAGTGTTCCCAAAAAGTTAAAAAGGATAAACCAGCGAAATTAAAGGGTCAATGAGATGAGTTTTTCTTAGCAACTCATGCTGTGCAACTCTCTACTCCTCTTTAATGTATGAAAGCTATTTGACATCTCCTTTTAGTTAATTTTGTTGAAAAGTGCACTTATTTAAACACTTGCCCACCAAAAATCAATAGGTGTGTTGCGGGGGGGGGGGGGGGGGGGGTGGGGGGTGGGGGGGGGGGGGGGGCTCGTAGCCTCGTAACATACTTTCAATGGGGGCGCTGTTCAAATCAGACGATTATTAACACTATATTACAGAATAGTCTACAAATACCCCCTAACCAAGCTGGCTCTGTCAATTCCCCGCCTTATTGTCAGTACAAAAGCCATACTCGCATAAATGGGAAAGAATCCTTAATAAAAAATCCTGGATCCAGACCCAGATCCGGATCACTTCCAAAATCTTACCGATTTGTATTTGTACCAAGGACCGCCCCTAAAAATATTTCTTGCAAATGCGTCCATTTGGAGTTATCTTGTTAAAAGACAAACCAACAAACAAACAAACCAACGCCGATATGAAAACATAACCTCCTTGACTGAGTTAGTTAGGAATTGAATACCCAAATTTCTCACTGGACGTGAGTCTGGAGTTCGAACCACGTGGGTGAAGGATGACAACAGGTCTGGTACCGAGTTAACCCCCTGTAAAATTTCACTGTTTATTTTTTTTTTTTTAAATAAAAGCCTTATGATGACATTATGGTTAGTTGTTGACGCATTACATTTTTTTTCACCGCCAGCCGGCACCGTTTTGTCCAGCATGGATCTGACGGCAGACCCGTGCCAGGATTTCTACCAGTTCGCCTGCGGAGGTTGGGTCAAGACACGCTTCATTCCGGAGGATTTGGCACAGTACACAGTCATGGACGAGTTACTAGACATCCTGTTGGAAAGAAGTCGAGGTATTGCATATTAAAATGTCAGTGTGAGAATGTGGAGGTTTTCTGGTTGCAAGAGACTTGCGTTAGAATCGAGGACCTCCAGACCGACCTGATGATCCAAGCTCTCGTGGGTACAGGCCAGTAAATAAGCCGAAATTTGCGTACTTCGGCCGAATCACGATTTGCATGCCCTCAAATTCTCCGGCATTAGAGCATTTTGGGGGCATTAATTTTAGGAATTGCGAGTAATTATCACTTAAGTCCATGGCTGTCTTCTGCAGCCTGAAAGGCCTAGGACGTCGATTATAATTGCACGAGTGGAATTTGTCGATAGAGGTCGCGCTTGCTATTCATAGACTTAAGATTGTCAAGTACACGAGCAAAGCCGATGATAACCCGGGGTTAGGGGTGCTGTCCGGAGATTCCTACTGTACCCAACGGTTGGCTATGACGTAACACGGACAGACTTTGTTTTAGATACAACGCCTGATTAAACCTCTGTCATCTGATTGGTGGGTCGTTGATCACATGACATTGAATTATTCGTCCCTTAGTAGTTTAATTCCAAGATAGATGGAAGTTCCATTGCACGTTCACACTTTTGGCGGCTCTGACCAATCAGCTGACGAGGATATACTCAGGTGTTGTATAAAACAAACAATTAATGTTTCACATTCGGGAGCAATGGAAAGAATGAGTTCTTCGCCTCGTGGAATGAAGCATTCCATCTGTCACCTCCTAAAATTGTTCTTACTATTGCACGCACAAACATTCATTATTTGCATTTTATACAACACCTGAATAAATCCCCGTCATCTGATTGGTGGATCGTTGATCACATGTCATTGAATTATTCGTACCAACGCACGGCGCGCGCAGCGCACAGTGCAATGGAAGTTCTATTGCACGGTGAATAGAACTTCCATTGCACGGTGTCACTGCTGCTGGTGGTGGCGCTGTTTCAAATCGAGATAAATTGAATATGATTGTTCTCAACCTGTTGAACAGTTTGCATTTATATAAAATTGATGAACTTGTCGAACTGCTCAGCAGTTTTAAACCTGAATAAATTGGCTATTAAAAGTCAACCAATCAGATGACAAGGATTTATTCAGGTGTTATATAAAACAAATAATGAATGTTTCACGTTCGTGCAATGGAAAGAATAATTTCATTCGGTGACGGATGAAATTATTCTTACCATTGCACTCAGCGATGCTACGAACCGGAACCTGTGTAGAATATACCCATCTCGACGAGTCAAGTAGTATACACTTCTCTTATTACCATCTTCGGATAACATGCTATCTCCGACTGTAAATGTTGTGTTGTGGTTAACAAATGAACGAACTGAAGTTACAGGCCTCCCAGCGGCGTAGCCAGGTTTCTCATCCGGGGGGGGGGACTGACTAGTGGGTGGGGGTGCTGGATATTACAGTGGGCGAGCGCCCAATTTCATCCGTGCTGAAAGGGAGAAATGTTTGTTTTTTGAAACAGACAGCCAGCCTCCGTAAAATGAATTTTATTTCAATTCTCTTTCTTTTCTCAGGAATGCTTGAGGAGAAATCCGCCAACGATTCAGAAGCCAGTACTAAGGCGAAGAATTTCTACGAGTCCTGTACAAACGAAGGTAAAGCTCAGAACTACTGAGTTATTGTGGGCCTTTGAAAAAAAAACTTTCCCCGTGTCTCGCACCTGGCTTCTACTGAAAGCATGCAAAACCACCAAAATAAAATACCAACTTTTATTGAAACACCATTATACAGGGTGGCCCCCCAAAAAACACGGAATGGCATATTTCCAGAGCCCTGAGACTCAAACCGTGACCAATGCATGGAGAATCTTTTTAGAAGAAAATTCAACCAAGATCGCCCGATTCGGTCCAGTAGTTTTTGTTCTAGAGCATATTTTGTGAATCGGGATATTTCGGTATCTTTATTCTTCTAAAAGGATTCTCCGTCAATTGGTAAATGTGGTTTGAGTCTCATGGCAGTGGAAGTATGCGGTTCCTTTATTTATTCTTTTTATTTTTGGTTTTTGGACAACCTTTTATAGCGTGTTGCAATATCTAATTGTTTGTCACATCTCCACTACACCCAGCGCTGATAGAGCAATACGGCGCCCAGCCGCTGCTGGATTTGTTGGACCACCTGGGCGGCTGGCCTGTTGTCGCAGGCGACACGTGGGACGAAGAAGCCTGGGACATGGCAGAGGTCCTGCACAAGACCCGGATGGAAGTCGACTACAATTTCCTCTTCCGACACGACGTCAGCCCGGATATGAGTGACTCAGAAGTGTACATAATCGTAGTAAGAGACATTGTATACCTTCGGGACACATCGGTTTAATATAGCGCCCTCTTATAAAAAAATGTCCCAGAGGGCGCTATCACTAACATTCGTGGCACTATTAAAGATGACGTTTACGGAGTTGATGGAAATGAGAGCAAATCTGGTTTAAAACCTAAATAGCGATGTTCTTGTTTTTTTGCATTGTTTGTCCGCATGAGATATGACTGCAGCTTTAATGTCACATTTTTAGCGGCTTAGCATTCTCGCTACACAGTTTGCGGGTCTGAGGACAACTGGCTGCCCAATTTGTACGCAACATGAATGAATCAACGCAAATGAAACCCTAAGATAATGGCACACCTATGTCGCAAACCCCACAGTCCCTGCGCGCCAAGCCTGCATGTTGGATTCAATCCACTAACTAACTTTATCATTCATTCGATAGATTGATCAACCATATTTAGCTCTGAAAGACAGATCATTCTATCTGAAGGAGAAAACAAACAAGGTGAGTAACATAAGATATTCGGACGAAAGTTAACAACTGTTGAATGCTGCGATGTGGGATATGACGTTTTTTACACCCGAGGGGTTCGCCTCGAGTTAAACTCGTCCGATCCGAGGGGGTTAAAAACGTCATATCCCACATCACAGCAGTCAACAATTCGTCAGCGCCACCCAGAGGTGGCAGCAAGTCATTTTCTGCAAGTCCAAGTCAAGTCACAAGTCATTAGGTCCAGTCACAAGTCAAGTCACAAGTCATTAGGTCCAGTCACAAGTCAAGTCACAAGTCATTAGGTCCAGTCACAAGTCAAGTCACAAGTCATTTGGCATGTTTGGTCTAAAACACAAGTCAAGTCACAAGTATCTTTGTCCAAGAACGCGTCAAGTTGCACATTATTTTGTTCAGCTTTAAAAAGAACCTGGCGTTAACTTATGAATTATTTTGAACATGCATCCTTAATTCTCCTTTTTCCAATGTGTTGCAATTACTATTCTTGTAGTTTATCACATATCCGTCGGATATTAGCCCTTTGTATACTTTAATAAATGTATTTTACATTGTAGAAATAAATGTTGAGATGACATGAAAAAAAAAGACTTCACTCACTCGATTACATGTAGTATACTAACACTTTATTGTTCAATTTTCATGTACATTAAACGCCTACCAATGGGTTAAGCTATCCAGTATTTTACATGCAATGGACAAAGGCCTGCTTTCATTTCATGAAAGTTTCCTTTCAAAGTTTGTTCAACCATTACATTAAGCAAGAGACTTGGTCATTGAAAACTGTAGTTTGTTGTGACAGGCTTATTGAAAACTTTTGAAACTAGTGGGAACTATTCATTTTACTGGATTCAGTCACTGAGGTCTATTTTCTGGAATGAAACTTTTTCGCTGCATCTATAAACTGCATTTATAAACACCTTGAGTGGCCTTTTGGGCCTTGTGATGGGCGACTTCAATTTAAAAAATCGAACAGCGTCTGACTTGGGTTGGTAACAAGTCATTTTTTGCAAGTCCAAGTCATTGCTTGCAAGTCCAAGTCAAGTCACAAGTCAAAGCTGGTATTTACAAGTCAAGTCACAAGTCACAAAAATAGCGACTCGAGTCCGACTCGAGTCCAAGTCGCAACTCTGCCGCCACCACGCCCAAGTGGACTCAGTGAGAGCGCGCAAGGTGCGCGTATTGTACAGAACTAATTGACATTTCGTGTTCATGAAGTAACACCCATGTACACTGTGCGCTAACTCGGTCATTTTCGTTTTCACGAAGCAACACTCATCTTTATGTAACCAGTTTGTAAAGGCTTTTAATAAAAAAATGTTCTGTAAGGCAAAAAAAAAAAAAAAAACTCGGTCTCTGGTCAGCGCGCGCGTCGATTTTAATCATGCGCGTCAACCTTCATTTTTTTCTTCAAAGTAACACGGAAGCTACAACAGCGCCCTCTATTGCCGCTCCTCCTCAAATTTTTGTACCAAAGAGCACCAACGGGAATGGGGAAATTGCACCAAGGCAAATGATAAAGGGCACCAAGGCAAATGATGGAGGACACCAATGTATAATGAGGACACAAAAAAACAAAATAGTACCCACCTTGAATTGTCTGTACAACTGAAACTTGAAAAAAACAAAAGCCACCAAAAAAAAAAAAAAAAAAAAACGCGTCGCCGCATCAATTCCGGAACTTCGGTCTGACCAGAGACCGATTATTTTTTTTTTTGCCTAATCCTACAAAAATGCGGAATAATTACATTCCTGTCAAAAGTTTTAAAACGTTTTTTATCCAAATAGTATTTCCGTAACAGTGTTGTCACTTTGTGAAAACGAAAATCGTTCACGCCGGTGTCCGATGTGAGCGCACACTTGAGTGTTACTTCGTGAAACCAACATTTTAATTTGTCATTAAGCGGTTTTCACGAGCTAACACTGAAGTGGACTTCAATATTACATCGTGTTGTCGGTGACGAATTGTTTTGTTATATCGTGCTAATTACTCAAAAAGATAAAAGATTGTTACTTACTATGATAGAAATCAATTAAATCACTGCGATGTAACCTTTGATAACTGAATGTTTTGATGTCCTGCTGGACATGGGCCTTATTCACTAGTCTGCCATGTTGAATTAAAAGTAAAGTAAAGCCCATGAGACTTAGCGTTTGACGTTGCAGTTCTCTTTTGCGCAATGCTAGCGCGCCGGCAATCTTTTATCGACAATGGTCAGAGTTTACTAACGAAAAAGGCAAGTCATAACGCTGACGAGTCTTGGTACCACACTGATCTTTCAGAGTTCACCGTTGAAACGATGTATAGAAACCGCTCCTGAGTTGTACTCTTTTTCGTGCGATGCCTAAAATCCAAATCATTCTCTCCACTTAACAGAAACTAGTGGCGTATTTTGAGTTCATGGTGGACGTCGCAACGGCACTTCGACCGGATGGAGACAGGGAAGAAGCGTCCAGGCAGATGGCAGAAACTCTCGAGTTTGAAACTGCCCTGGCAAACGTGAATATTAAGATACCTTTATGCTCCTTTATATAGTTTGCACATAGAGCTATACCAACATAACTCTATGAGTTTGCATAACTATAAGTCATATCAACCAAAATCGTTAAGCACATCAATTCGAACCATTGATCTCCATTAGTAAGACTTACTAAACGGAGAACAATGATTCGAACGCAGGTGGCTAATGGCTTTGGCACATTCAGGATAGGAAGTCGTGCGTACTTCGCGTGCGAACCACTACAGTACAGAACGTATATGCAGTGTCCCGTCCACGGGGCTCTCAAAAGTGTTAAAAAGCGCCCTCTTTTGTTGGCGCACGGAGCCCTAGGTTTTATTCACGAGTCGGTGATATTTAATTGAAAGCGAGGTAAAATCTTGATTTTTGGGAACTTGCGAATAGAAATGAAAGCAAGGACAACATGTTAATTACAAATAAATAGCATTCTGCTTTGATGAAAAATTAAAATGTGTGATTGACAAATGATTGTCTGATGTTTTAAGTCACATTTAAAATCAAAATGAAAGTGAAACTTTGATGCCTAAATAGTCCGGCACCATGGCATTCAACAGTTCATAATTTATACAGTACATTCAGGGAACACGACCAAAATGGCTTCCTCGTGAATAAAGTCTACAGGTAAGAGCCAGACCAGGTTCCCTTTCACTAAGGCCAAGTTTGGGCAAGGACCATTAGTCGACTAGTGGTTGATTTGTGACGTACCTTACGCCTGCGCATTGATAGCAACGTGCGAACGTCTCTAGTCAAACGCTGGTCAAAATGTCATCGCAAAACTTCTGGATCCTGGCTCTCTGCTAGCGTTATGAATGCGCGCGGCTATTGGTTACCAGCGAAGCAACCAACCCCTGTAGGCTGGTTCCAAATAGTCGACTAGCGTAGTCAACCACCGTCGACTAGACGGAGTTCGGGCAAACGTTAGTTAACCATTGGTCAACTATAGTCCTTGCGCGAACTTGGCCTGCGCCGCTAGGCACAGAAACTAATGACTTAGCAAACAGCAACAACAACAGAACACCAGCTAAATAATCCAACGATATTTTTATACGTGTGACTGGTCCCAATCTATTTTTACTGGCAACGTTCATTTACTAAGCCCTATTTGTTCTCACGCGCTCCGCGATATAGGCTTAGAATTTACCTATCGCCGTTTGCGAGTTTGCCACGCCCCTTAGACATTCCTGGATTTTTGTGTACACTAAGTTTTGTTTGTCTCAGGTTTTGCGCGTTCCGTGTCCATTTGTATTTCATGTCATTGGACAATATTTTACAAGCTGTGTTGATGCGATTCTGCCGCGATAGGTCAATAGGTCCAAAGGTTCAAACCCATCATGTTGTTGGAGGAATACGCAAGCAGACTCACGAGATCATCACTCAAATACTTGACATGTTTCAATCAACCTATCGGCAGCCGGACGAACGATACTTCTCACGAAATTAGTTGCCAACGTCTGAGTGGCATTTTGCGAAGTAGGCGATCTTTTCCCTATTTTTCACACACAGTTGATTGAACGTGATTTCTCGGGTAACGTCTTCATTCCCCTTCTTTCCGATTCTAGTTTTCCGTCTCACTTGCTGAGAGGATGGACGTGGCGACGCTCAACAACCGCTACACGGTCAAGCAACTACAGGCGGAAATGCCACAGGTTCGTGTTGTTAAAAAATTACAAATCTGAAATAATGAACAGTCTCTAGACTCTTCGCAATTTGTGTGGAAATTTTTACCGAGACAAAATCACCAGCTAATTGCATGTACTTATTGAAGAAAGTCAATTCCTATAACCCTTACTCCCCATTGCCTTTTGGACCAAGTCCGCCACAATCCATGACGGAACCTACTACGCATAATGCTTCAGGGCCAAATCCGCTGAAATCCACCTCAAGACCGCCACTACTATAGGTGGATTTTGATACGATTTTTGTCATAAAATTGAAATATTACTCACTAAAATATTGCATGGCATTTTAGTATTACTCTGCTCTTCTTGTGCAGATAGATTGGCTCAAGTACTTTCGGCTGGTACACACCGAAGACTTTTCACCGGACGAGGAGATGCTAAATTATTCCCCTTCGTATTTCGAGAAAATGGCCGCCCACATCAGCTCGACGCCAAAAAGGTAAGATGTTACGCATCTCTTAATCATTCCTTCACTTCAATTGCTGGGTGGAGAAGTTGAACTGTTGGGCATTATCAATTAGAATAAAACTACCATGTTTTAAAGCTTTTTAGGGGCTTTTTATCAGGGGTTACAACGCCCTCTACCGACACAGCTGGTTTAGAACATACAGCACACATGCGGACACCGAGATTTCATGATATTTGCAATGGAGAAAATACAGTAGACATCAACCTCGTTCGCAGGATGTCGAGCAGTGCGCTCCCACCATTACCTGATCAATTGCGTTTTGGATACGTATGGAAATGAGAAATAGTCTGGTGCCTGCCTGTATTACATCAACGTTTGTTTTAGCATGTGGTGTCTGGGGTAAAAACAGAATCGATTTGTCGCGGCGTGAGTTACGAAAACACAACTTCTTTTCTAGATTTAAATGCTACAATCTTAACTAGCCAATCTTTAACTAGCCAACATTTCATATTTATTGAGTAAATTGGAAAGGAAATTACTATTTTTGGAAAAGGTGTGAACGTAATAATAACAATGAAGTTCAACGTGAAAACACGTAAAACACGTTGTAAATAACATCACCAAGTACACGATATAAATTCGTTACCTGCTAATTGCGCTATCGAATCACGATACCGGAAGCAAGTTCCCTTCCCATGGATTACTATTGAAGTTTTGAGTTACGAAAACACAACTTCTTTTCTAGATTTAAATGCTACAATCTTAACTAGCCAATCTTTAACTAGCCAACATTTCATATTTATTGAGTAAATTGGAAAGGAAATTACTATTTTTGGAAAAGGTGTGAACGTAATAATAACAATGAAGTTCAACGTGAAAACACGTAATACACGTTGTAAATAACATCACCAAGTACACGATATAAATTCGTTACCTGCTAATTGCGCTATCGAATCACGATACCGGAAGCAAGTTCCCTTCCCATGGTTTACTATTGAAGTATGGGACACGAGGTTGAAAGTATACAAGACGAGGCTGCAGTATACATATACTCCAGGTTTCATTCATACAGACATTGTAACTTAATATCCAACTTGATGTTGACAGATGTGATCTATATCGACATGTGATCAGTACAAATGAATGCAGTTTGTCGCACTTAATTTGAATCGCTTGCTACTGCACTGTGTGGTCCCCCCCCCCTTTTCAAAACATATAGGACAGTGGCTAACTATCTCATGTGGAGCACGGTGTTCAGCATGATACGGTACCTGCACACGGACCTCCGTAACATCCGGCAGCGGTTCTTGGGCGCCACCATCGGGCAAACGCGGGAGCAGAGCCGGTGGAAAAACTGCTTCGGGAATACCAACGCCAACCTGGGTATTGCTACGGGGGCGCTGTTCATCCAGAAACACTTCGACAAAGACAATAAAGCTGCTGTGAGTTTGCTGTTGTTTTTCAAAAATGTAACAAATTAAGAGCAATATTAAAAGGCTCACTTTTTAAGTTGACTTTTTTTCCATTCATTCATGAAAGGCCGCGATTATAGAAGGCCCTGAACCCAACGCATGTGGAATGCCCCAAGCACCAAAAACGACTTTTCCTACAACTTTACGCCTTTTCTTAACGTTACGGAGAATCTTCGTGTTGATGAGCCTTAAAGATTGATTCAGTTAAAGATTGCTACTACAGTATGTTCCCTGAAAAAGTGTCCGTCTGAATTGTTTTGAAATAACATGAAATCCACGATTTATTGTAAACATTTTAAAATTTGTTGATAGTCCTAATCCTTGGCCTAAACCCCTAGTGTTATTTGGTTTCCCTGACAGCTCAGTGCACAATTTCAATTGATCACAACAACATTTTTTGACACTGTTTTGTATGACCTCCGATCTAAATATTCCTTTTTATAAGAGCAGACGCAGGCGCAACAGAATATAGAGGCACATCGGACAAGTATCACTCTAACATTGGGCTTGGTAAAAAGGTTAAAAACGTGGTTATTGAAATCCATCTGGATACTACAGGGTGTAATAAGTACACAAGAGTGAATAATTGCTTGACATATGTAAATCTTTATTACGACATAGATCCACAGATTTCTAATCCAATCTCATCATATTGCGTCTGCCAATAATTTAAAACAAGAAAAAAATAGGTCAGAGGTCACCTGAAAATTGATTGTGGGGTCTGAATTCATAACATATCTGTAAACTAGGCCTAATAGGTGCATTTTTTTTGCCACTATTCAGTCTTGACGAATAAATATGATAAATAACGGCAACTGCCTTAAACAAAGTTCATTATTCCAACAAGGGTCCGACTCCCGACGTACCATACGTATATTTGGAAACCTGTCACATTCAAGTCTGAATTCTGGTTTTTGTTTTTTGTTTTTTTACATTTAGGCCCAGGAGATGCTGGAAGACATTCGCGAGACCTTGCTGGAGACTCTAGATGAGGTGTCATGGATGGATGTTGAAACCAGGGCCCACGCTAAAAGAAAGGTAATGTTGGCCATGGCTGCATGGGAGTCAACTGTGACTGTTCTCGGTGAACAGTGAAGCAACAATGTGATTGGCACCAGTGAACCCACGAAGCTGTAACACAGCACTTTCCTAAACTGGACACATTTTCCTTCTCTTTTCCACTGCAACCCTGTAAATGTATATTACGACCTCAGTAAGATTACAGTTTGGAACGGCTGTAATTATTTTTACTGTGGCCTATTACACCCAGATTCATACAGGAAGTGGTGTGTGAACATGACATTTTTAATGAGCAATTTATGACCAACCATTGCTCTTTTTTAACAAAGGCTTCGAAAATGATGGAGAGCCTTGCTTACGATGATATGCTGACAGACGAACAGGCAGTAAATAACGTCTACAAATCGGTATGTGTTTCATTTTGTTTTAGATATGAGTGACTGCAATTACATTGGTGCACAGTGATCAGTATTGTGATCAGAAAACATCACATTTTCTAAACTTGTACTGTGGCGAAAAATACGGTCACTGTCAACAGCATGTCAATCAATAAGCACTCGCTGTTGTCGGTGTTTTTATGTTGACGATTCTGAGAAATGTTCTGTTCTTATTTAAAAATATGTAACATGGCGCGAATATCGTTTTTGTCGCGATCTTTGGCGGATAGGTGATGAGATTGCGCCTTTGATTATCAAAGCATGAAATTTGGCACACAGACACAGTACGACACGAGAAAGATATTTGGCTATAGTGCCATCGCAGATATTGCCATTTTAACAATATGTAGGTAGAATAACAAGCAATGGCAGCCATTTTGAAAATTTTGAAAATTGTTTGTTGCTCTGTCTGACAAATCTTCGACTCTGACTATGTGCGAAATCCCATGCTTGTTTCATCAACGGCAAAATTCCCCCAAAATATTTCCCCTTTCTGCCACATTAGCATATTTTTTTTGTCCTCGGCTGTTTCTTTGGTAAAAAAAAAACCCGCTCCAGTCAATTTCTTTGTTCAACTTTGAAAAATATCCAAAAAGTGTGATTTTCACTCCAAAGTGTGGTTTTACTTTTGATATTCTTTTGTGTTTATTATAACAACTGCGTTGTCGTCTGTTTGTTCTTTTTGTGCAGATAGATTTGTCACCTGCGCACTACTTTGAGAATATACGGGCGGTATGGAGAATGGAAGCCATAGAAGGCATCGACCATTACGGCCAGCGCGTAGAACGGGGAATGTTAGTACCTAGAAGATGGTGGTATTATTGGTGATTCGGGGGTGATGGTGATGGTAGTAGTGGTAATCGTGCACTGAATGATCAGTGCAGAGCCGTATATAGAAAGAGTTCAGAGCGACAACTTCAGACTGTTGAACCATAATGGCCGTTCATTATGTGAACAGTGCAGCGTGCGACTATTGTGTACGAATTATATTATGTGCACTGATGCATAATCCGCCATTTTGTTTCCTCTCTCTATCATACGGCTCTCAACCTCGTTCCCAGGGTGTCGAGCAGTACGCGCCCATCACTACCTGCTCTCTCACCCTGGTATTGGATCATTTGCATGTGCAAGATTTTTGAACACGTATGCAAATGAGGAATAGTATGGTGCCTGCATGTGCCTTACATTAGCGTTTGTTTTTGTATGCTGGGTCTGGGGTAAAAACAGAGTCAATTCGTCGCAGCGTGAGCATGGCATGAGTTACGAAAACACGATTTATTTAATTAAACTGTTACGATCTTATTCAGACAACATGCAGTATCACATTTCATATTAATATGAACAAGTTGGAAAGGAAATGAGTATTTTCGAGAAGGCGTGGACAAATGATCGCGAAAACACTTACTGTACGATGTGAATAACAACACCAAGTACACGATAAAAATCCATTACCAGCCAATTGCGGTATCAAATCAGGATACAGGAATAAAGTTTCCTATCCAGGGCTTACTATTGGAAGCGTGGTTGGAAATAAAGTAAGCACTGGGGACGAGGTTGTACGGCTCTGGGATCAGAGATGTAATAAGCGCCCTCTTTTGCTTTGTGGGTGTTTCTCGTTCCGTCCCGGTTGCAGGTAGTCTATGCATTCGCCGTGATCTTTTTCGCATGAACAGATTTACTGATTAATTAGGCAAGACCCTGCCTCTTGACTTCCTAGATTTTGACCAATCAGCAGGCTCTTTCTATATCGAGTCTTCGGTCATTCACCCGTTGCGCGTCATATAGACAATGGACTTTAAAAAAAAAAGTGTCACGCGCTCAGTGTATCATGTTACGCGATATGGGGCCGGTTGTTGTATTATAAAGCACTGTATTCGAATTGACCAATCAAACCATTTAGTCCTGACTTAGGAATGAATGACGCCACGATTTAGTAAAGTCGACTCCGATTGGCTGGCGCGTGGCTTGCATAAATTTGCATGTAAGGAGATGTCAGACGTTCTCCAGGATTTGGCTCCGTGGATAACGCGTGATACTGAGACTATTTGCGGGTGCATCCCATTTAAAAAAAAATCACCATGTAGTCACACTAGTGATTAATCCCCATACTTCATTTTTTTTAATACTCAGAAATCTCACAGAAAAATTATGATCAACATGTCGTCTTTCATTTTCTTTTTCAATTTCTTATGAGTTGACCATTGACGTTTCAAGAAATTCTCACTCAAAGAAGACCAACCCCTAAAACGAATGATGTTTCCCAAACTAGAAATGTATTTTGATAAAAAAGGAGGCCTCTACATACAACATGGCTAAATAGCGCCACTTTTGGGCCCAATTGCATCCAAAATGCTCGGAATAAGAAGGACCATAAATAATCATTTTAGTCTGGCATGCACAGTTTTTCTATATTACTTTTCCAAATCTGATTTTCGAAAAATGATTTTTCTTTCGAAAAAGGTTGGTTGATTTTGTCGATCCGAATTCTAGTCCTCTTGCGATCTCTCACATATACTTCGATATGTCTAGCCGTGCAAATCCTTATTCCTAATGTTGGTCTTTGGAAACAATGTTTCACCCTGACGCCACTTTTGTCTTCATAAATATCATCTCAATGGGGGACCAATAGGTCTGTCATTGCAAAAAATGTTGAAAGGACAGCAATCTGAGACTGAGAAACGTTTCCCACTTTGTTAGGAATTACTTAGAAAATGTTCTTGGCGCTCTATAGACTTTGTACACAACCGCTGAAGTGGCATCTGCATGGATATTACGTACATTCTTTCTTATTCATTTCTCAACAGATCAAAGAAATCACCTATCGACGTTAACGGATATTACAACATTCAAGAAAACACTATAAGTAAGTCCTTGTAGAGCTATTCCCGCCCCCTTTTGTCAGCTTATTCCCACTCAAGGATTAAAATTAACTGAATATGTTGGTTATACCAGCTTTGAGGAGCTCATTGAATAAACCTTAAAAAAGTACTTTTTAAAAATCTTCTACATCCTTTTTCTAGTATAACGGTCATAGGAATTACGGACTATATAATAATATCGGAGTCTTATATAGCGCACGTATCTACCAACTATTAGGTACTCAAGGCGCTGGAGATATGTCTATTATTAAAGAAAGGTAAATAAAGTTTATGAGAAATATGAGACCCATTATGTAGCACCTTATAAGGGTTTACAAGGTGCTGCGGCGCATATTGCAGCCACTGCCAGAAACACCGGGGCAAACCCCTTCTCTTAGCGATAAGTGTTACTGGGTTATTTAACGTGCATTACACAACACACGGGACCTACGGCTTTACGTCCCATCCGAAGGACGAAGCAATAATGGTAAAGTGCCTTGCTCAAGAGCACAAGCACCATGTTCCCACGGTCAGGATTCGAACCCATGTACCACGGCACACGAGTCGAACACCGTTACCATTGGACCACAGCACCACATGAGTTTTGGATTCTTTGTACTGAATCATTAATCATATTTCATGGTTAATTGGCTCGTTTATGTATAAACATTACATCTCCTTTTGTTACACTGAAATTGCCCATATGTAATCTTAAAACGAACACATCTGTTATCGATAGTCTACTAATTGGAAAGCAATGAAACTGTATTTGTCCACCAATAGCTTACGTTCTGTCATTTCAACTGGTGCTATTTTGCCGTTCTTTCTACAGTTTTTCCAGCTGGTATTTTTCAACCCCCGTTCTACTCCATCCGATATCCAAAGTAAGCAAACCGGTCAAACGTCTAAAGGTCAATATTCTTACGTTTACATTTTATTCAAATTGTACATTAAAAATGTTGGGATCTAGTATCAATTCACAGAGAGAATTAGCCCAGAATGTTGCGACGGATTAGAAGTGTTTTCGTTATTGATGACCGACCCCTAAAACAATCTGCAAATGAAATGTTTTTGGTAACTTTATTGATATCTTGGGTTCCAATCGTATTCAGATATCCAATTCTTCGTCTTCCACGCCATTCTCTCTTAAAGGGCCCATGCAATACATTTTAATGCTATCCTTAAGAATGCGGTTACCGCTTGATAGTAAGGTTCGATAGCCCGAAGGTTCGTTAAGCCGAAAGCTCGTTAGACCAAAAGTTCGATAATCCAAAGGTTCGATAGTCGGAAGGTTTGATAGTCCGTCCTTATGACAGCTACTGTGGTACTCAAACAAAGGGAAATTAAGCGAACAATGCTATCCCACTTCTCACCTTTAGAAAAACGGTACCCCAAAAGTGAAATTCTCAAGAAAATGGATAAAATGACAACAATGCAAGTACCCAAGAACTCCCATCTGCTGGGATGACCAAAGTGTTCATCAGTCCGAAAATGGAGTGAAATATGCCTCAAGGTCAACAGTCCAAATAGACAGCATTGGAAATTATTCTCAATTTGGGAATAATGAACCTTCGGACTACTGAAACTTGTTTTCATTTCGGAATATTGATACTTCAGACTAATCAATTTATTTATTGGTGATGTGAAATGTGGGTGTTCAGACTAACCTTCTTACCATAACTTTCGGACTCAGAACCTTCTGACTATCGAGCGGTCCCCAAAAATGCACCTTTGAGTCCCATCTAACCATCAATTTTTAAATTTTAGGTTTGTCATTGACAAGGGTTGTTGGCGCTTTTTTATGTTAATGCATTTCCATATTTTTGAGCAACAATGTGATGTCATTCAAGACAGAAACCTCGTTGCTATTTCAGCACCGGGGGTGTCGTAAATTTTCTTTTCTTCGGCGATTCGTTGTTGTGTCAGTACATAGCAGTTAGCAAATGAGCAAACTTATCGCACAAATATTTTCAAAGGGCTAATTTTTGGGTTTACAATTCAAACAGAAAACCCCTACACAGAGCAGTGTCTTAATGCTGGACAATTTTAAATGTTTAAATATTTAAAGAAGTGTACTTTTCAATACAATTAACATAAAAGGGAAGTACAAAGGTCTTCTTACATTTATAAGGAGTAAAATGCACACAATATTTTTCTAAGAAAAAAACAAACATTTGTGGCCCTTAAATGCATCGTTTGGAAAACATTACACAATAAAACGATTTTTCCGAATCCCTCCTAAAACAACTAGGCGTAAAATTTCGTCTGATTGTAACTGAGATTTTTTGTTCCTTTTTTCATTTACAAGATCTATGAACTACGGAGGCATTGGAATGGTTATGGGCCACGAATTGATGCATGGATACGATGATACAGGTCGGAGGTCAATTTTCTGATTAACGGATATCTTTAAGTATATACCATTTTTCGCCTTAAATTATATTTTCTGTATAATGCAAATGAGAAACAAATACTGTTTAAATATGCGTTATGTGCGACATATTTCCTTTACAGTTAAGGTATTTTTTATCAAAAGATCCTACGATGGCTTTCTGTCTGTCTGTCTGTTGGGCTGCCTGATGTTTGTCTGTATGTCGCGTTTTTGTAAAGGACCGAAAGAGTGTGCGGAAGCGCAAAATGCAAGGGTTAATGGAAAGGTATCCAGTGTATGCAGGTTCCATGCTCCGATTTCACTGTCCTCTGACGTCACGGTTGGCACGTGAAAAAAATGATGTATTTGTCTGGTTTTTCATTTTTGGCAAATTTGTTTCTTTGACACTTGGAATAGTGAAATATTTCAACCTTCTCTTTATGAAAACACTTCAAAGCGTATCGCTACCACGCAAGCCAAAACATTTATGCTGAGACAAAATAATGTTGGTGACAAATTTGCTTCACCAAGGTTTACCAGGCCCACTTGGGGTCAACATGCAAATCGAGGTCAAAATAATACAATAGTATATAACCCTTTATAACCGTCAATCGTACGAATGCGTACGATATGAATATGCATTTCGAAACTTAACAGTATAACAACCTCTTCTCAACAATACCCGGATTTACGACTCCATCCTGCTAGTGGGTGCCACGCAAAGCGCGGCATCCCGCTAGTACATTATAACAGTTGGTGCCATGATCCTCCAATAATAGCTCAAGCGCTAGTTCAGAGGACGGGCCAGGCCGCTTTTTCCACATAAATATTTTGGTTCACTCAATTTGACCCGCTTCTGTAATACTTGTTTCTCTCAATTGATATTTGAATGTTGATTGTGTCCTTCAACGTATACTGCTTTGTACAGGCAGCCGCGTTGATGAAGACGGTAATATAAAACAGTGGTTTTCCAATTCGTCCACCGAGGCATACAACGAAAAGAAGCAGTGCTTCATCGATCAATACTCGAATTATCACGTCCCCGAAGTCGATCTTAAAGTGAGTAGACAAATCCTAAATCAATCATCAATTTATTGGTACACTTCTCTGTTTAAATCCGATAGGGTCAAATGCAGAGATGCACAGATTGGTTCGTTAAGCCCACACATTAACCCTTGGTGAAGCCACGCGGTGATAAAATTCTCCACATTTACCAAATATGGTCATAACTTTTTTCAATGGGCCAATAAGGCCAAGATTCCATGTAATCCTCACCCCTGGTATACACCACAAGCCTGTAGACTCCCATTGGCCAGACCCTAACCACACATTAACTATTTATCGATGCACCAAAATAACGTATAGCCTAACCTCATTCTATAACTCACCTATACTAGTCAAACTATGTGACAAGGTTGATGTGTAGATTTATTTGCCTTAACCCTAACCTTCACCCTAACCCTAACTATTACCTCAAAGAAAAAATCGATTGTTACCAAAACATGTTTCGTCAATGATTTGAGGATAAAAATCAGTGTCTGCCTCGTTCTCAAAATCACTTCTCTCGGATACTGTACGTGTTCAGTGTACATTCATGAACAGTCTTGACAATCTTGCACTTTGGGTCTAAACACCAGGTGTAAATACAGCGCAAAGATTTGTTTTACCTCCCTGGGAAATCCCCAGATCACCAAGCCTATATTTTCATTTAATTGTTTGACTTTTTGAACGATCTCTTCAGCTAAATGGTGAACAAACAATAGGGGAAGTACTGGCAGACAACGGAGGCATAAAAGAAGCTTACTTTGTGAGTATGCAAATTTGATGAATCTCACTTTTTAAAATAAAATTGAAACATTTTCCTGCTGTGTATACAGTGGTGTCAAAAAGTGAAAATTATGAGCGAATGGAGGAAATGGACCTGAACTTAAGAGAAAACGTATGAGAAACAGTTTGTTGGCAATGTTTCTGGTTACTTATGTAAAGTTTATGGACACCATTTGCAAAAAAAACCAAACGTAATTTTGTTTTAAACAAATAATAAATAACCTGTCAAAATTTCAGCTCACTAGATATCATGCTTTTTTGAGCAAACTTTGAAAATTGCCTCTTCATATTTCTCTACGCAAAGCATAGGTGTCCGTAAATGAAAGCGCGATGGTTTGGCCCTTACCATCGCGAGGTAACTAAAGCATTTTCCTCGAAAATGGCAGCATACTAGGCGCAATGATTTCAAAGCAAGCATGTACCTCTGGGATAGAGTAGGATATTTCATGATATTTTAACTGTTGCAGTTTTTAATGATTGCAAATCGTGGACTTGGCCCTGATGGCCTTGTGATAACGGCAGCTATACTTACAATACATTACAACTACAATACTGCATACGTGACAATGGAAAGCATATGGGAGTTGGCCTGGGTCTGATCTTTGCCTCAGAAATTCTGGGTCAAAAGTTCAACCAGGGTTAAAGGGGCAATCAATAGGGAACTTGTGGAGTATGATTTTTTTTGACGAAAAATCAACGGAGTAATTTAAACATTATTTTAAAATGTACTAACAAGTCAGTGCTCTTGTACACCACAAAGTTAAAGAAATTGTTCAATGTGCTCAATGAAATTGTGGGCACTGCGTCATCATTTGCTCTTTGTACCTCTTTTGTTTGTTCAGGGCTATAAGAAATGGTTAGAGCGGACGGGCGATCCGGGACAAACGCTACCGGGGATCAATCTGAATCATGATCAGCTCTTCTTCCTAAACTATGCACAGGTATGTGAAGCTGCAGGTCAGTGTCAAAACGGGAAAAAAGGTATTCTAATTCTTCACCCAAAAAACTTCACGAATTAGATATAATTTTTATACCTTTTGAAAAGCTTATCTGCATTAATTTATCGAGGATACTTTATCATTTTTTTGTTAATATCGGATAAAAAATATCTACCCGTACCCAGATGTATTTTTTTTGTATAAAAAAAGGTACTGTCCTAAAGCGCAAAATAAAACTCCGGTTTTATGAAGAATTTCCTATAGCTGCGAAATTTATTTTTTAGAATTCCTAGAGTTTCAGTTACTTGCTTTGTTTTATAATTATTATCATCCAATTTTAGTAGTTTTTTGTTGTTGTATACATGATGAGGTACGCATAATCACCAATTTTGAACACGAGTGCATGTTGCCGCTTTGTTAAACATGGGCCATTTTCAGTGACAAACAATCGGACTGGAAAAACATTCACCCAGTAACACTTCAGGGTATCCCGACCTTTTTTGATTTGTTTCGTTTATGAAAGACGCTTTGCTAGATTTTGGACATGCTTTGATTTTTTTTTTAACCCTTACAGCTATGGTGCAGTCTTCATCGTAAAGAAAAACTAGAGCTCATTGTTACAACTGAGCGGCATCCTCCTGGAAACTTCAGGTAGGCCCCTGTACCAATCCTTCTCTCGGTAATGTCGTTTCATTGTGTTCTCATTTAACTTGGGTTGGATCCATATATCTGTTTTCCGAGTTTGTAACGGTATATGAATGCGGAATTTGTAAATTTCGGTATCGTCGTCCCACCATTATTTCATAAGTTTAATTAAAGACACTAGAGGGATGCTGCGCTTCGCATAGCACCGGCCCCACTGCGTGGAGTCGTAAAGCCCTTAATTAATCGTCGTATTTTTGAGAAGGATTTCATTGATACAGTCAGGTTTCAAAATGTATATTCACATCGTACGAATTCGTACGATCGATGGTTAATGGGTTAAACACTATAGTAGGCCTACTTTAACATTAATTTGCATGTTGACCCCAAGTTGGCGTGGTAAACCTTGGTGAAACAATACTGCCACATTTTTCACCATCAACGTTTTGTTTGGGTAATTTCGATACGTTTTGGAGTGTTTTCATAGATATAAAAGCAATTAGTGTGATATTTCACTATTCAAATTGTCAAAGAAAGAAAATTGCCAAAAAAAGCAAAATAAAACAAACAAATAATTTGTTTTGTTGTTTTCATGTGCCAACCGTGACTTCAGAGGACGGTGAAATCGAAGCATAGGACCCGCATACACATATACATTTCCATTAACCTTTGCATTTTGCCCTTCCGCACACTCCTTAGGCCTTTTACAAAAAACTGATCTTTTAATATAGGATTGTGCGCACGCTCAGATATCAAAGTCACGTGAAAAAAAAGAACTGGAAATCTGTCCACTGGCAATTTGTCTACTAATCATGATACCAAGAATGCGATACGCATTTTAAACGAATTTAAATAATCATACTTTTGTTTTGTTCATTGGTTTTGCGTTCTTCTTCAGGGTCCTTGGCACTCTGTCTAACTCGGAGAACTTCGCAGAGGCCTATCAATGCAAGAAAGGTAGCCGCATGGTGCGAGACAAGCCGTGTAAACTCTGGTGAGCGGTACGTCCGGGGAAAGAACACCATTCATCTTCACATTTTCTAAAACCTCTCTCGAATCCTCGTGAATCTATTTTGTCCAGTCTGGTCAGGTTCATTCCATAATAAGATCAATGCGTGGAATAGTCTTTGGCATTGACAGTAAAATGAACGCTTGTAATTATAACGCCAGGTGGCGCTGTTTAGCCCCTCCACGCAGAGCCGTGTATCTCTCTTTATACAGCTATGCATTCACCATTCTCCCAGTCTGCCTATTCTGTACTCCAAGACTTCTTATTAGTTCATTTTCATCGTACAAATATAAGAATGTAAGATATGGATGAGCGTGACGAGATAAGTATTTTAAGTGAAAGTTGACATACCTCAATCTCTAATAATCGTGACAAAACCAAACGTTTAACTTTTTTTCTCCCAAAAGGCCGTCAATTTTACAATTATATTCTGTCTCAAAATGTAATTTCCTTTTCGACGTTAAAAGGAAGGCCTAAAATTTGATCGTTTATGAAGTCAACGTCGACTCGATATTTTTTATTGTAGACCTACATCTATCGCTGTAAATGTATATTAAAATATTTAACAAAGTTACCAATTTTTGTTTTTTAAATATTTGTGAGAAGTTTGCTAGTGGACGCCAGCTTAAAGATCAGGCCCTATTTCATGGCGCTGCTTAACAAATAGCAGAAATGTTTTGCTTACTATATAGCAGGAAATTGTGCTAACGTTTAGCACTAGGCCTATTTCATGGAGTGAACTAACTGTTGTGCACGCATGGAGATTTCTATCGTTACATCACTGATTTAAGCAACTTTTTTCTCTGGTGTTAAGCGTGCTTTTGTTATGCTTACTGCTTACGGTCTTTGTGAAATAGACACATGATAGAGGCCTAGTTAGCAGAAAATCGTGCACTTAGCAGCGCCATGAAATTTGGCTCTCTCTGTAGATAAAACAAATCAGATTTCGTAATGTAATGACTTTTTGCACAAATCCATATGTGTTTGCGCGAGCGTCAGGCGCCATCGCCAATGCATTCGAATGTCCCTTCGCGTGGTCTCTCCCAACTTAGTCAGGTAACCACACTAAAAGAATCTGACTATTTATGACATCTCTTAGGTCAGGTAGACTGTACACACCATGGCTAGAAAAGTAGACGCGACCAAAAACGGGCTGAATCCTGCCCGTTTCTGAAAATGTCCGTAGTCTTCCGAATGCATTTCGTTTATACTCGGTTATGTCCGCAGAGCTCGGGTATTTCCAGGGGGCAAAATATTTTTATTTACCAACGAAATTGCTGCCGTGCTTGTTATTACATTTTGAAATTTCTAAGTTCATTAGCTCATTGCTTGCATTTAAAAGTTCAATCCCTGACCTTAGATTTGTCAAAATAATCAACACCGTCAGGGCTGGTAACCAGTCTATCTTCTATAGACTGGGCTGAGCAAAGTGAATGGCCTATGGTAGTACATTCAGTTGGCAGTCCGCCACGTGCACAGTATGCCGATTGCCCATGCACTAGGCCTAGGTTGAACCTTCGCGCGCTTGCTGGCTGATTCCTGGTTGCGAATTTGCAGAAGTTGATCTTGTTTTTACAACTCTTCAGTCGCCGGCCATTCGACAGCGCGCGCCATCAAAAGCCTACCCGAGATGAGTGGGCTCCACAGGTGTTCGAAATTGTTCAAGGCTTTATTAGATTTAAAACATTTTTGTGAATATAAATCATAATGTGAATTAGTGTAAATAGAATGCTAAGAATTTGGACTTTTTTTCAACAGTATTTTGGGTGTTCGTGTAGAAATAGCCGTGTTGCGTGTATATTCCGCCAGATTGTTATATATCCTACTGTTTTATATAAGAATTAAAACGAATTTTGAATTTGATGTGATGACATGTACTCTGAATTTTGCTCGGTTGCAAACAAACCTCGTGGCGCTATGGGCTTTATTCACGAGTCGGCCATATTAAATTGAAAGCAAGGCAAAATGTTCATTTTTAGAACTTGCGAAGAGAAATGAAAGCAATGACATAAGGTTAATTACAAATTAATACCAGTTTGCTCTGATGAATGATTTAAACTTTGTGATTAAACATACCCTAATGTTTTAAGCCACATATATAAAAAAAAACATTAAAGTGAGGCTAGAATGCAAAATAGTCTGGCACCATCCCATTCAACAGTTCTCAAATTATAAAATACATTCAGGGAACACGACCTAAATGGTTGCCTCGTGAGTAAGGTCCATAGTGTGTTTTCGTGATCACAGTTTCGTAGTCGAAACTCATCAGCGTGTACATTGCAGAGGACTTGTAATTCAGTTAACGTTTTAGCGCAGAGTCGGGTTTTCCTTTTGTTAATACGGATTTCGTAGCCTGCACGTGTTAAATTCATGGGTTGCTGAATATTGGTATTTGCATACAAAATATCGTGAAGAGTGTAATTATTATTGTTGACTGCTTTTTCTTCTTTTTGTTTTACTAAGGAATTGGATTCCGACGAACCAATTTTATGGAGGCACCTGACTACCCTAGTTTAGTTTTGTATTTCTTCATTGTAACTGTGCCATTTCGTGTGTCTAAATTATTGGCAATTTAAAGGATGATTTCCACTGAGACATTTTTCTAGAAGTAGCGGATAGCTTATGATTATCAATGCATATGGAGAATAACTAAGTGGTAACCATGTGGTGCAAGTTTGTGAATGGAAATAAAACTCTCTCTCTCTAATCTTGAATCTACTTTCGTATTTTGTTGTCAAACAGTGTTCCGATACAGGAATGGCATGATGGGCATTCCACATGTTTTCTGTGTTATTTTGTCTATTTCTATTTTTCTTTTTCATCATTTTGTTTCTATAATACCTGCGTTTGTTCAACTATATTTCCTCCAGCAAAGCCTTCGTGAATTCAAGGATGCACGGCCAACTTCTGCCGGGTGCCCCAGGATCAACTAACTGTCCCATTGACCCTTACCTTTTTCTGTCTCTTTTACAACTTAATAAGTCATTAGAACTACTACCTCTAGACACTCCTCAGCCAATGAAATCAGAGGTCACACTGTTCGAATCCATTTGCATACGTTTGCCGTTTGAGGTCACGTAAATAGCTTGGGTGACCATTTTTCCAGAAAGATTTATTGTTTTTTCTCAAGAACCATGTAAGAATTTAATCCAGGCCGGGTCACATGGATTTTCGCCACATATTCCGAAAGCGTCAAGGTTTTTTTTTTGTCGACTCGAGACGCGTTCGATGTCAAGCAAACAAAGTTTACCTTCTCGCGGCAAGCTTTGCGCGGAGCTGCGGGGGCGGGTGTGTTTCCTCCCGGCATTGCCCGACAGAGCTGGCGCAGGTGGCGGCTTCGCGAATGCCCACCGAGGCGGATGCATTTCTTGTGCGCCGAGATGACACCTCATTAGCACTGAAGCGAGACCACGACGAGAAAAGAAAAAGAGCTGTAGTCGCGTGAATCTGAGCTTAAGTCTGGCTAGGATCAGTTTCTTGCTGTGATTTTTTCTTTTCTTCTTAACGGAAAAAGGTGAATTGTAATGGTCTTTTTACTAAGTGAATGGATATGTGCTTGGCCGCAACCGGCTATGAGCCAGGATGCGGATAATGGCCCGACCCGAGCCGGCGGTTTTAAACGTATGCGCATGGCTACTTGTTCAATACCCGCTGGCCAAGCACATATTTATTCCCATTCATAAAAACTTTTCGGTTAAAAAGTCAAAACAAGTCAAACATTCGTAAATTTCGGATGATTTTATTCAACTTCATGTTTTGTTAAGCATCCCTCTTGCCATGTCCATGGTATGTGCCTCGCGCGCGCGTGCTAAAGATCTCCTTATATGGAGACTTGCGCGCGCGGCGCGTACTGCACGATGTCGCGCAGAACACAGCAGTGCTTTATCAACGGTTTAAAACTACCCACGTGACGGGCTCTGGGTAAACTGTCTCAGGCATTTATGGATTAAATACAGCTACTTGCTAAAATCTAGGTACTTGGCACTTTATTTTCTGTCATTATAAGTCTGCCACAGACAGTTACAAATAAGACTGGAGTCACAAGATGCCGACGCCCGGGTGTTATTATTCCTTTAAGCCTTTCTTGATACGCCGCTTGCTACGCGTTTGAAATACTTTTGCAAGCATTCATGGCGCTTTACATGTACATCTCGAGCGGTATGCCGTTAAAGCGATCAATTCCAAAATTGTAACACACGCGATGTCTCCTGTGGGAATCCTGGATATATTTTATAGCTTTGTGCAATGGGCCGTTTCCGCAATTCTATCTAGAGCCCTGTTGAAATAGCGACTTGCCGTGCCACAAAAGACGGACAGTAATATTACACAATGTCTTTGCTGCCATAATTTGGAGAAAGTGATGTATCCCAATTTTTTTAGTTCATTTTTTTCTCGGTAAAGTGAGGGCGCTCTTTTCATTACTGTAAACTTCAAGTTAAATGGGCGTACCGTTTAGAAATTGTAATGATGTGTCTCGAGTAAACACGGAGATATCGGTCTCGAGTAAACACGGAGATATCACTTGTTACAGTAATGTATGTCCCACATACATTTTATGTATCAACATTTCCAAACGCAATGAAATGATGTATCTCAAACATTTATCACTTTAACATATAACCTAATCTGCCATTTGCATATATCTGTAAGATATATCGGGTTTTTTTCTGCTAACCCGTGGATTGAAAGGTCAAATATTTTCACTTTCTCTAAAATATTAGGACAACTATTTAAAAATACATTATTTTCCATGAATAGTATGTTAAGATACAGTACTAATATGTTCCACGAAAGAATTATGATGTATCTTTATATGACACCATTTCATTAGAATTCTTCTCAAAATATAACGATTCATGTGTTCATAGGCCAGATAAAAGGCTATACAATTTCACATGTTATCTGAAGTCGTGTACATCTCGGGGTAAATGCTCTTTTATTTGTGGCAGTTGTATCAATTATTCAGTCTTTAGTTCATGTTTCTTTTGAGCGTTGGAACTTGCGCCCGGTGGGAATACCCTTTCTGACATCGAGTCTTGGAGTCAATGCATTTTTAAACGAAGGCATAAATTAAGTATTCCATAGGGGGGGGAGAGTCAGGCAGTGACATTTTTTGGTATAAAGACTTACGCAAGTATAATTAAATGCCAAAAAAAACAGCGCTGCTCATTAAACATCAATACAGTAACACATTTGTCTCCAAGGCCTGTTGTTGGTCTGTATATCGTTCACCCGGACGTGATAAGTAATTTCGTGTCTGATCATAAGAAACCCCGCGAGTGCCAAACCCGATCCGGCCGGGTGTTGATAATGTAGCATTGAAATTTCTGAAAAACCCCAAAGGATTATTCTCAATTAAATTACGGGCATTATGTAATTTGCTTTTAAAATTCAATTCAAAAGACGGCATTATTCTATAAAAAAAAAACAATAAAAAAAAAAAATTGCAGCCAAAATAAACCATGACATTTTAATTCAACAAAGCGTAATTACCCCAAGGCGATTTCAATTCTAATTTACGATTTTGTCCACGTGTTATTTTGTAATTCAAAACGACAGCACACGTGATTTGAAGTTTTTAGTTCAGGTTTAAATCTCTCGAGAATTTGTCAAGCGGGGAGATTTCAATTGTTATTCCTTCCGTGCTGTTTTTCGCCCGCCGTTTACGTTGAAACATGGTGCCTCAGGTCCCCCACTGCGTGGGACACTCTTTGGGGAATCACGAGGCGCCCCCGTGACTAACTAGTGTCAGATCACAGGCTTTCCTGATGAGGATTCTTCCCTCCGGCAGAAAAAAAAATAGGAACTTAAAACCACAGTATGCTGAAACATCTGTCTTCAAAACGATATCTTTTTGTAAATTCCAGACGCAAATGTCTTCGCGCTTGCCGATGTTCGTGCTGCGTAACACAAAACGGGAAGCGATCCCCCCCCCCCCCCCCCACGACATAAGCAAATGGTGCGTACACTGAGGTTTTGGAATTTACTTCCCTAAAAACATGAGAAAATATAAATATATAAACAGAAAAAAAATCAATTCGAACCTAATGAATTTCGGACTTTATTTCCCTTTAAAAAGAAATGTTCCAAAGCCGCAAATTAGAAAAGGAAAAAAATGGAAAAATGTTGTTTTGAACTCTCACCCTCCGATCTCAAACTTACCATTATCCACATGAGCCATCGGAGAGCTCGATAGCAAACCGTAATTCATGGCATTATATACAAAAATAAAAGTATCGTAGTGGGCGCTCAACAACCGCACCATACGGTGTTGTTTGGGAAAAAATAATGGTGCAACCTATTTTTGCACACTGATTATATCAGCAGTCTCTTTATGTCAGGAAAATATGTAGACCTACAATAGAGTCCAGGTTTTCGTCCTAAAAGATGATGTATCGAACATGTATTTGTTTATTTAGGCTGTTTTTTGTTAGAGTGCATGAGAAATGATACAACATACAATTATCAGTATGCATGTGTCACAGCACACACAAACAGTCAGAAATGTTTCATTTCATTTCAATCAATGGCAACATTATATTTTCATCAAAAGAAAGTTTTTAAAGAACACGCGTAGTTTTCAATCCATACTTGATTGAATTGTAGAAGATGTGAACATTCTTTCATTTTGTAATCAAGTAAGCACGAGATAATTAACTAGGAGACACTTTTAGTGTCGAACATTTTCCTCTTGATGAGGCGGGAACAGGCGGCTTGGCGACACCATAAAGTCGGTCGATGGGCGACTATAAATATAGCCCACTACATGGGTCTCATATGGCGCTAGCTTAATAAGGCAAAATATAAAAATAGTTTCACATTGGATCTGGTTTTAAAATCTTATATTTGTTTCCCAAATTGCCACAAGTATTTGCTCTTTGTACACTTCCGCCATGGGCATGCAGAGCCTCGATCTGGCAACTTTACTCAATACATATAACCGGTCCAGTGATTCCCGTGTCGGGGCTCAGATCACTGAAAGGGCTATTTTGTATTGTGTACAGTTGCCAGATCCAGGCTTTACATGCCCAATGGCGGAGTGTGAAAAGAGCGAACTGCATGGCAATGTGAATTTCGTTAATCAGACCGTTAAATAACACTGCTATACGAGTGATGAGAGAACGATAATTATTTGCGTAGGATTTTTGTTACTTTTTTTCGTTTCATGAAAGTATTTTAAAAAAAAAACACAGATAGCCTGCAATCCAAACTTGATTGAATTGTAGAAGATGTGCAAATTCTCACAATCTGTAATCAATCAAGTTCGAGTTAATTTGCGAGGAGACTGTTTTAGTGTCTGCGCATTTCTTTCGTGATGAGGCGGGAACAGGCGGCTTGGCGACACCGTAAAGTCTGTCGATGGGCGACTTTATAGCCCACTTTATGGGCTTCGTATGATTTAACGACTGGTCAAGTATTGGCGCCTACCTCGGATGGTATAAGCTTTCGTATGAATTATTTATAACGCTTCTTGTGTCATAAACTTATTTGCTAGTTTTGTGACCTCGTTTTGTAGTAAGCTCACCTTAACTCAGCTGACTTTCTACGCTGACTGCCCTAGCGTGTTGATTTTATCGTGCCCAGTTCCGGAATTTTCCCGTTCCACAAGCTTGAAACAAATTTCCCTAATTACTAAGCACCGGTACCGCACAAAAAGATTAAGAAAGAGGTGAGATGAAATTGGATAAGTTCAAACAACCGAAATTCACAAAGACTCCATGCATCCATTCCCCAGAAAACATTTTGTACCCTGGTGCCGAGAGTCCACTGTCGCATGGTAACTCGTGCTATCATTATTTCTGACCAAGTCAGGACCTTTGTCGCCCTCAACGCCCAGTCAATCTAGTTTCTTACGGATGATGTATTAACTCCAAAAAATATAAGATGCGCATTGCCTTTGAAATTAAAATAATGCTGGTGCGGGTGGGCGTGGCTTCCGGAGAGCAAGTGTTGACCTAGATACCTAGGTATAACAACAATGTAGAGTGAGGCGCAACGCCTTTTGTTTGATGTAATAAGTCAACAATCTCGGCAGTTTGCCAGCTTACCGCTGCAGCAACGTGAACAATGCGCTTTGGACGCAATGCGCATTATTTTGTTTAGTCGTGCATTTTACCTCAGTTGGAATCTGGATCTACGGGAGTAAACAACGGTTTCTGAGCTACATGTACTTAACAGGGAGCCCGCAAATGAAGAAAGAGTAGGAATATTCCTCTCAACGCGTCCAAGGTGAGAGTTGTAGGAACACTGAACCAGTTTCATTTTTCTTCAGTAAAAGGAAAGATTAAATAGGGATGTATTAAGATCCCATATTGATTGAAGGTGGATCTGCATGACGAGCGACTATGAAAGCTTGCATCCATGTAGTAGACCTATTATGCATTCCGTTAGACAGTCATTGACTATGTAAACATTTCATTGGAGGGATATAGGCTTTTGGTGACGGATATAGACCCTTCGTTTTTGAATCTCAGCTCAGACTTAAAATGTTATCTCACACTCAAGACAAAATAATTGCAGCTTCGATAAAATAGAAACCTCATCTACAGTCTTGAAAGGGCTATGTTCTTGATAATTGTTCTCATTAACGCTCCTCCTATTTAAGCAGTCACGGGCAGTCAAAATTCACTTCCACTTCCCCTGCTATACTTTTAACAAAGGCTATACTGGTTACCAGCAGTCAGATCATCTGTCAAGCAAGCACTATGTCTAGTCAAACTGGGTCAACAGCCAAAGCAGGCAAGTTATGGTCACAGCTGTCTATCACTCACCCGGAGTCAAAGCATAGCTGTATCTATCAATTTACTTAATCAGTCCAAGGTAGTCAATCCTGCCTTATGTGGTCTGGGAATTCTTAAGGGATGACAATATAGTTACTTGATTGATTTTGGCTGCAAGGACAGCTTGGCAGAGAATGTATGTTTTTAAAGATGTCAAGTTTTAAAATATGAGGTTCAAATATAATCAAAAGGCGCTTATGACATAAATTTTGATTATGACAATTTATTGCTCAGAGTTATTTTTTATGGATACATCGCAAGAAGATGAGTTCTGGTTATTATGATGATAGTAACTTAAACCTTTTGAGCAATCGGGAAAAGTTAAATAAACCTTAAATGGAAAACCCGAATGAAGGTTTTTATTATTTAAAATCGGTTGTCCATTAGTATTACGTGAAATACTTGGGGTACCTCAAATTATGTCCAGCCCACTTTGCATTCCGATTTTGGCAATGACCAACTTGCCGTTCGGTCAGCCGACAAATCCTGGTTAGTGCGAGATCGTATTTGCCCCCCCCCCCCAAACTTGGTTTTGGATCCCCGGTTTTTGTTTATTAACGAAAGGTGGCAGGCGAATTTTTAAGATGCAAGTCTCGGGCAATCATTAGCATTTTCCCCCGAGGGAATGTGACATTTCGGGGTCTCGGGGGCACGATGGGGCGAAGCGTTGCTCCATAACGCATGCAAGGCCCGCTCGCCAGAACCTCCGCCGAACGAAATCCGCAGCTCCGGTAATTAAAACGGTATAAAAACATCATGAATTTTACAAGAGCCAATTAGCATGGAAATAACACACGTGGAATATTTTTCTGATACTCTAATATTGTAGGGGGTCTCAAAATTCAAACATGCTGACCTCAGAATAAGGGATTAGGCAGGCAAAGAAGTTTGAACCAGCAAATGTTTGGAGAGGGCCCTCAGATTCAATCCCTCAATCTGTATAATTTTGAAGTCTACAAAAATCCATTCATTCTACTCGTACTGTAGAATTATGAATGGATATAAGCTGCCCTCGCGTATACGAATAACATCTGCGACGTCATGCAACACGAAATAAGACGGTTTTAATAGACGTCAGGAAACCTGACGGACTGACAGAGACCCCTGGATGGGAAACGTTCTTCCTGAATCCTGATTTGATACAGTAATGGATTGATATCGTGTATTTGGTGTTTTCATTTCCAACGTGCATTACGTATTCTAACGTTCGCCGTAAATTGTGTCCACTCAACCTCACAAACAATCCTCCCTTTTCCTTTTCGCTTAAATATAAAAATGTGATACTGCATATTGGCTGGATACGATTTATCATTTTAATTTTGAAAAAAATCGTGTTTTCGTAATGCGATGAATTTATTCCGTTTTTACCCCAGACTCCGCATACAAAAACAAACACTGATGTAAAGCACAGCCAGGCACCACACGTGTCCAAAAAAAATATTGATATGCAAACGATCCAATACCAGGGTGAGGGAGCAGGTAGTAATGGGAACGTACTGCTCGACACCATGTGACGATTTGTGACAGGGATAATCCCATGTTCCTATAGGGCCTACCCTATACACACGCTAGACTATTGTTTCATAACACATCTCCCTGGACATAGTCTCCAAAAATCTCCGAGATTCCGGTTACACAATGACCAACGCAAGAGAGGTGGGGTTGGTTTCTTGCTACAGGTCTGAATTTGTCGATGGACTGGTTGCCGAATATTTTGGTGCTGTTTTACATCGAAAATTGAAGCAGATACTTTGCATAGCTGTGGGAGGGTGCTTTTGTTCTACTTTGAAACGCACGGGGAAACCCCATATATATGTTTGTCACTGAATTATGATAATAAAATAATGTCACCTCAAAGATGGCTGCCGAAAGCAAAGGGTCTGGTAAGAACAGGTTGAAGCAAGATTTGTTCGTGGTAACTGCGCATGCTGGCCAATGAATACTGAAAACAGCTCTGAAAAGTTGCAGTAGAAATGCATTCATGGGTTTTTGTATTCTTCGGGGTAGATTCAGTCGTAAAACGATACCCTAGTGGTTTGGTGTTAGCCCATTCAATTACATTCGAAATACCTTGGGACGGCAGGGTCGAATAGCCTCCTTATCAATACCGTACCAAACTCACGTTGCTGCCAAACTATCGTCTTTCTTCTCCTTGGAGAGGCGAACAGGCTCCGAAGTCACGCGTGCCGCGTTCACAGACCGTGGAAACCGCGCCAGCTGGGCACGTGTTTATAATCAATGCTCATTTTGGCGCGCTTTTCCCTCCCTATGCTGCCGACCGAGCGCTGCGGTCGCATTCCCGCGCAGTGTTTTGTTTTTGCTTCTTTTTTTTTTTACCTGTGATCCCAAGCCGGCCCAAGAGATCGGTTTGATCTGCGCTCGCTGATGGCGCCAACAACTTGCTTTAACCGATGTCACATGCCGTGCGGAGCTTTCCCTGACGTGCGAGGCGTCGCATACCTTTGCATGTATGCCGGACGTTTACAGAGTGGCTTATTTGCTTGTGCGTAAGTGGTTACTTCAATTATGCTTCATTGTGTATTGACTCGGGCGGTGTGGATTTCGTTCTAACTACAAAACTTTGTCGGTAAATCTACCTCATCAAACACGCCAACTCGTATGACTTGGAGTTTATATTTTCTATCGCCGGTTGCCTCTACAGACTCCACAGGGTGGCTGCAAGATGAACACCTGCTAAATGATGCTCTCTGATGATGCGTCCGTGAAGGTAGGCAATTATGCGAGAAGGGTCTAGCAATTAATTAATAAATATTGTCTCAGATGTTGCAAGGAAATGAGCCCCGGGAATTGAAGACCGAGACAGCCCAAATGGGCGGTGCCATCTTAAGCCAGTACGAAGATTGCGAATCCCTTGAAGATGCTATCGACTCCTAAAGACCCCCGTCTCAGATTTCTCAGTTAACCGACTTTCCCGTGCCCTTTTTGGGAATTTCACAGCTCTCTTTACCGAGAGCCTTTTAGTCGGTCCCAACGGGAGGTGTGTGGGTGACTAACGCACCTTGCGGACCTGGTACTTTGGCGATGTCAACAGTGTGTGTTACTTAGGGTTGTTTGTAACCTGGGAAGAAGTTACTTCCAGATCATTTGCGGTAATGGGGTGCACGTGCGCACATGTACCTAGGGGAGAGGATCTATTTCATGCATCGTTATAATATCTTGGCAAATGCGCAAACTGTAGGGCTCCGCAGTCCGTGTATTTCCCTGCCTCTCTTTCGTAATGTGACCGAGTGCAAAATTCTATCCAAAGGGCCAAACTGTGAAAGACAAATTTAGATACCAAAAGGGTGAAATTACTTGTTACATCAGATGCGCTTAATATGTAGAGAGCATGAACAGCTTTTATCTTCAGACAAAATATTAAAGAAAAATAATTCACATGTTTGATCCGGTTTCAAAATTTATATTCCCCCCCCCAATTGCCGCAAGTTTTACAAGGCAATGTGCATTTCATTAATCTGACTTGATTGGTGTGCATTTTTCCTTCTCAAACACATAATTGCTCAAACTGTTAAATAGAGTGCATAACAACTAACCTGTTAAGAGTTCAACTTTAATAATGGATACTATGCGTATTAAGAAAACAGAAGGCGTGCGCTTCTGGTCGGATCTCGTACTAGATTCCGTTGCTAACGCGCACAAATGTATGTGTTTACCTGCAATCGTGGACCCCTATTGTCCCTCTTTTGTTTGTACTCAAACTTTTTAGCAAGACCTCCCATATGGTTTGTACACGATCGGAGATTCGGAACCTTCGGAAATTGTGGACTCTATTAACCCTCTATTGATCAACGTCCCCTATTGAATGCAGAAACAAACCCACGTAAATAAGTGTGCCCGCCTACACCCATTTTGAAATCACTTTCAATTTTAGTTTTATTCCAAACGATACCATTTTTATGCAGAATAGTTTTACATGGTATTAAATACTGGTTCTGTCTTCATTTTGAACTAACATTTTTTTTTCTTTTCGTTAGGTCATTTTGGGGGTAATTACATTTTTTTAATTTATGTTTTAAATACATTGCAGATAGGAAACCGCTTATGAACATTCCTGCTGTCAACCTTCCTCCTGTTTTAACAGTCACAGACAGTCAAAATTTTCATCCACTCCCCCTCTGTACTTTTAACACAGGCTAGTCACCAACAGTCAGATATTATGTCAAGAAAGCACTGTGACCAGTCAAATTCAATCAACATACCCATGAACATACCAAGTAGCCATGTTATGGGCACAGCTGGCTTATCAAATATCCACAGCCAAAGCAAAGCTGTGTCGAGTTACGTACACAGTAACCGGCCAGCTCTTGCTTTATGTAGGCTGAAAATTCTTAACTGTTGAAAACAGTCACATGATTGATTGATTTTGACTGAAAGGACTACTTCGCACGGAGTGTATGTTTGCATAGGTAACAATGATTGTTATAATGTTGTTTCTTTCTATTGCCTGCGTGAAAACGTCATGGAGGCCGTGTGGTATCTCTTAACACATTGCGCCAGTTAGTCTTTTCTTTTCACGTGTTGACCGTATACGCAGAGGAAATCGTCCTGACGTACCGGACATCATTGTACAGCAACGGCCATCCTGCTGCAAACCCATCAAACGGCCAAGAATGAAAACCGTCACACCTTTTTTTTTGTCCCGGAAATTAAATATCAATTTGCGTGATTTGGCCTTGATAAAATCAAGGCTTTTTGAGACAAGATTCTAATGTAGCTGGCAACATATGCCCAAGATGCACCTGTCTTTATCAATTAAAATTAACATAATCGAAGCAAGGAATTGTGTACTAGAAATTATGCACTAGGCCCAACCTCTAAACGATAAGCCACCGCGAGAACATTTTTTTTTTCAAGTTGATTGGAAAATACAATGAAACCCAGATATTCAAAACGTATATGGATTTTGAGATGTTTTTTTTAAAGAATTTTAAATCACATGTACATTACATACGCCAGTGGATATGATTGTTCTTTTTTTTCCTTAGAAACTTTATTTTGATAAATAAAGTTGCGTTTCGTCTTAAACAGAAAACATGATTCTAATTCACGAACCTGTTTATGATTAACAATTGACCTTTATTATGAAAAGCAGATGATAACCAACGAAAATAAACAGCTTGTGGGTTTCTTGAAATTCAAGTTAGTTTGCCTTAACAAAAAATATATATAATGAACGTATTGAACTTGCAATTCACGTAACATGAACGTATTGCAAACATAGAAGTATTTGATAATGTCAAACGGAGCATTAAAACAAATGAAGTCATTAAGAGAACACATGGAGTCGTTGAAAATTTAAAACTATTAATCAAACATTAGGATCATTAATGTTTAAGAATGCCAAACGCAACATTAAAACAAATGAAACCATTAGAAAAAAAAAAACAGAATCTAATTCCGTGTTCTTATCAAAAGTTTAGTGAGATGCATTCACGCCTCACTCTTCCGATATTTAAATATTTCCCTTTGAATGTCGGCTCGCATAAAGGAAACAGAAAGGAAAAGAGTTATCAGAAGCCATGTAAAAATGCTCCACGACTGTTTTATTAATTATACCACGTGAGAGCGTTAAACTATAATGTACATGTTATCCTGTCAGCATGGCGATCTCACCAAAAGGAAACACGTATGGGAAATTTCACATAGGTCGATACACTCGCAGAGCATAATACATTATTCTGCAAATTAAAGTAATATGCCATTTAACTGCATGAAAATACAAGGACGCCGTTTTGAGGTAAATCATCGTTCAACTGCGGGGTGTTTTTACTTATTAAAGCGCCCGTGTTATTTCCAGATACTTAATGGCGCTGTTGGTGTGAAGTTACTTCATACAGTTACTTTTACCATGTCAGAGGTTTTTGGATGAAATAAGGAGTTGACAATTTAACTCACTGTAACAGTAAGGATTTCGCAAATTCAACAAATAAAGGAGAAATGGTGCCCGTTTACAGGGTGTGTCAAAAAGGAAGAGGCCGAATTAGAAAAGAAAAAGTGTGGCTCGCTCCATTTCACAAAAATAACATAGGGATAAGGTACATGTTATTGACTGGAAAGTGTTACAATTTCAAGTAATTCGCATATTTTTTTGCCGAGTTATGTCTATTTCAATAAAACAAGATCACAAAATTCAGATATCAACCACTGATGATATAATTAAATACAATGAAACATGGACATTTCCCCATCTCCATGAATGAACCAGAACTTGCAAAGGAAAACATACAAAAATTGCCATCAATATGTCAGAAAAAAATTGACTTGTTCCTGTCGTTCTAAACAAAAAATCTGGCATTAAAAGGAGTTTCAGTTCTGACTCAAATTATTACAATCTCATTGGTATATTTGAATGCCTGTGTGTAATCTATGATTCTCACTCAGTTCGATAGCTTCCAATGGTGTTCCATGGACAGCTAGAAAAAAATATTTTAGTAAAACATGCAAAACTTCTGATAGCATGGATCATTTTCAGGAATTCTTTCTTGTTCAGATGAGTGGACGAACTTGCTCGTTTAAGACATATTTCACTTGTTTATCAAAATAATTTGATTGCTTTTTTGAGAAACAAAAAGTATAAGTCCAAGTCTTTTTTATCTTTGACTTAACCTGTACAAAAACAAACATTATGGCAACTTTTTTGTGAATGTAAGACAGGTTTCTGCCTGAGGTGACATAACTACTTTTTCCCATGAATATGAAAATTTGCGTTAGCATAAAAGCAGGAAAGGCAAACACTTTACGAAATGTCAATACAGTATAATTTAGGGTAAAATGGGACTCATCGGTGCCATTAAGCAATATCGCCATAAAACCTTGTAGTGTTTTTCGGCTTTTTTTTAAGAACACGTACATGTCCTTATTTCTTAAAGGGCCTAACACGTCATTTCCACTTGGGAACATATTTTGTGAAACTTTCTACTCCTCTTAAATGTAAAAAAAACCTTGTTGACGTCCCCTATTGGTTAATTTCATTGAAAAGTTCACTTTTTGAAATTAAGATTTGCCATGCATTTCCTGACAAATGAGGGCGATGTTGTTGTGTGCGTCATTTTAGGAAGACATTGTATAGTTTATGGGTTTTCTGTTCAAATTGTGAAACCAGAATTTGCTAATTGCAAACATTTGTGAAAAACCAACATGTCACCGAAGAAAAGAAAATTTACGACAGCAAAATATCCAAGGTTCTGGCAGGTTTTGGTATTGAAATAGCTGTAACATTGATGTTTCTGCCTGAAATGACATCACACTTTTGCTTGTGAATATTAACATATCCATAATCATAAAAACCAAAAATGGTAAAATTGAAATTTCAAATACGGTCAAATGGGACGCAAAGGTGCATTTACAAAGACAGCATTAAAACAGTTACATTGCATGGGCCCTTTAAAAAAGAGGACTGAAATCGACGGTCGCGATGTCTGAGTGAAACAACGCTGTTTCTTGCTATAGCAGATATTTTCCCGAGGACATCCTTTGGCCTTAATGGCTTGCAATGTGTGATGGTACGATAAACGTTCTTCGGTTTGCACAGGTCTCGAGTCCGGTGGATTGGTCCACAGTAGCTGTTCGTTCTATAGAAATTGCAGGTACTTCGCAGTAGCAGTTATATTTGCTCTCCTTGATTAATTGCGACCCAAATGTCCTTCACAAACGAGGCAGGTTCAATGCCACACGAAGATAAATACTGCATTGCCGCTCGATAGCATCGACACGTGTTCATGGGTGGAACCTTGTCTGTCACAGAATTGGCAAATAGACGAAAAATGAATGTAAATACTACATTCCCACTGTTTGAAAAGTCATCAGCGTTGTGCGCTCGCAGTCAAACATTTTCTGAATGTGACTTGAGATATGCAGGAGATGCAAGTCTAAGACGAGACTCTACGAGAACCACAAGGGATCTGTGAGGTTCAGGGTGTTTGTTTCAGAAAAGGGGTAAGAAATGGTATGCCTCCGCAGAAACTAAAGGTGTTTCCACTTATGAATTTTCGGGGAAACACAGTAACGATTACAGCATGGGAATTTCAACTGACCACAATTGGTTTGTCATCTGAAAAATAAGCCAAATGTTATAAGGGAAACGATTTAAATATTTCGTGGAGTTGACCTTGTCAGTTCTTGAAAAATCAGTCGCGAAAAATAAATGTCTAAGATTCGTTGTTTTGCTAAACCTGAAAAGTTTATTTACTGGTCAATCGTTAAAGTGCAGAATTCTTGAGCCAATAACCCAAAGGGTTCATTCCTCACGGTTCGGTTTCTTTTGGTCAGTAGAAAAATGTACGTGACGGATTTGCCATCAGCTAATACGAATTAATCCGGGCCCACTTTGGCTTAATGGAATTGCGCTTCTTTTTCATATTTGACCGGAAATAACTTAATTTATTTGTATAATCCCATAGCTAACGTGTAGCTAAGCCAATTTCGGATGACCAGATGGAAATCAACCTTAAGGATATTATCTGAGTGACCTCTATTCTAATCCCGAGGATGATAGCACGAAGATATTTCATCTTCAAGACTTGTTTTTAGGCAACTTGTGAAATTTTTTCAACCCCGAAACTACGTCAATTATCTTGACCCGTTGAGTTAGAAAGAGGCACCAAAAATAAGGGTTACGAACTGGATCTACGCGGAGGCTGGATATTGATTCCTCAAAAGTATCTCCTTCACCTTAAGAGAAATCAGAAACGATCCATCGCAATGCTGTAGGCGATTACTTACCGATGAATTCCAATAATAACTGTACGAGAAACAACGGTCAAACAACGTCTCGAGTGCAGCAATATTTCAAAATAGCGGGCTAATTGCCCACCAGCTGTTGAGAGAATGTTGACATTTGTATAGTTCAATAGCAGACGCTACGTGTGTCTCTGCCAGTTGTGCAGATGCGTGTGCCAGTTGTAAGTCCCTGTACATCCCACGAGCTGAAAGATAGATGCGTGTCATCCTGCAACGCCGAGTGAGTTTCCTATACTTCTTGTACCACAACCTAAACTACACTGCAAAATAGTGAACAATTAACACCGTGCGGCATTTGGCCTACACGAGTACTTCATACACAGATCTGCAGTGTGTTATATATACCAGAGGGGTATTTTAGTATTTTCTTATCTGGTTATTTTCATATTTTTTTTCTCATCGAATACTGGTTTACCATCTTTCTTCAGGTGAATGCTTACTGATATTTGAAGACGACCGAAACCGTTTATTTGAAGCATTACTTGGCAACCGGAAACCATGATGCATGCTGGGAAAGTTGTAATGGCCCTTCTTCTTAGTCTGCTCGTGTCCCCCGCAGGCTCGTCCGACAGATTTGGTAAGTTGTGACTTCTTCCCTTCATTCAATTCTTTAATTGTTTGTGAACGTTTTTGCTGGTTCAAAGGGCCAGCTTACGTTCCTCTTTATATCTTACTGAATGACCCACTGTCACTTATAAACCGGGCAGTGCTATCGTATAAGGTTGTCCCGTAACGTGAATAAAATGGCTGATTTCGGCCCATATTGTGCACACATGCATGAAAAAAGTGTAGTAGCCTATAAAGCCAGCTTTACTAGCCTTACCTAGTCTTAATAGCCTTTTTAGAACGAACTCATTTCGGTGGACGTGGTTAAACAGAAGTTAAATCTAAAGGTTAGGATTACGTGCCTATACAGGTTAACATTTCGCAGTTCAATTTCCACCAGTTACGGTTCGTTTTGAATGATTTTTTGTTCTGATTTCTAAATCCTGACAGTTTCAGGAAGGAGTTGAATGTCTTTTCAAGAAAAACCTTCCAAATTCGGAAGCTGGAAAACAAAACCAAAATAATAATAATAATAATAATAAAATGTATATCACGTTAATCATCGACAAATAAAGATTGCATTCAAAAGCATTTTTACACACAAGTACACACACATCAAATTTTTTTGAAATTCATGCAAGTTCAGAAAAAAAATTACGTCCTTTTCTTTTTATGCCAGTTCTGAAAAATTGTCTGTGATGAATTGATTGAATTATGAATTGAAGATTCATTTTAACAGGAGCTTTGGGGTATGCATATTCTGTTATAAAATACATCTCATTCAATTTTGCATTTGTTTGGTCATGACATAGGTGCATCCTTATTAAGTCTTTTCTTTTTTTACGAACAAAACGATTGACCACAACATCAGTTCCTGAGGGTCATATAGCCTTCCAATATAAGCACTGACTGTCATTAAATTTTTCATGAATCTGGCCGGCCCAGCAGCGTTTTTCCCTCCACTATGTTTTATGGGGAAGGCCTGTCACGGGCTCATAATTTCACTGGAACAGGCCAGTATATAAAAAAAAGCTGGGTCAATTAGGCGCCCCTGTGTGGCTGAAACAATATTGGATTGTTTCGCCCCAAGATCGGGGGGAACGTTTCCAGTTGACGTCTAGCAGATCGATCTGGGTGAGATCAGCCGTGATACCGGGGGCCCAGGGTCAGCCGATGCGGTGTTGGAAATTAAAATGTTAGAAGGCTCGACGTCACCACGCTTTTGTTTTCTCATTTGAAGTCCAAATAACAACGCCATCAAATTAATAGTGTGCTTCAGATTGGCGGTCCGTTTGAACCGGCATTGTTTGATTTCTGCTCTTCGATGTCCTGCTTTGACGAGTTGTTTTATCGATCTCTTCGTTTCTTAATTAATGGTCAGTGCTGTGCACATTGGTGATTGTGCATCAACTAGCGTGAGGTCGTTGTACTGCTGACAAATATTGCTTTGTGTTGTATTCTGTTGTGCTAGCCTCGTTCTTTTTAAGAGAGCTGAAGCCTCTTTCTCTTTTCTTCATTTTCTTCACGTCGCATTTTGTCACTTGGAGCCATCAGTTATGTTTAACCAATGAAAGCTTATTCTTATTAGACCTGACTTCTACTTCTACTTCTACGTCGATAATTGACAGTGCGTCCAATTGGATATCTCGTCAATTTGCTTGGCGTGCAAGGTGTGGACCAGTGTAGACTTAACACATTTACAAAGTGTACGTGTAGGTGCAGAACAAACAAAAAATAAGACTTGGAGACTGAAGACTTGGTTCGAAAAGTTGGGAGTTCTAATGGTTCTCATTTGGGTTATCGTGCATTTACCTTTAACGGTTCTCTCTCAGATGTTTCGTGCCTGCAACTCCTGCAAGACAATTTCCCATGAATGCAGTTTGTCTTTGGGGGTCAAAGATCAATGCTCTGTAATTTCAGAACATTTTATTTCCATACCTTCAGAAATATACAATGTGACACGGAAGAAAATTAAGAACAATTGAATAACAGTTGAATAGAAATATATAAATGCATATATAAATATAAATCGAATGAAATATACAACATGAAATATACAACATTAAGGTATGGAGGCACTTTCAAGAAGCCGAGGCTTGTACTGAAATGTCTTTAAATGAAACAGCATCGACGTTAATCGTGGTCGTATTAACTTACTGTTACTGATATGTATTTCATCTAATGATCTTGCCGGATTATAATCACGACGAAGAAAGTTTCTGAAGCAGGGTGCAGGTTTTCTATATATAATGACCTCAGGTCAAGTGGTTGGTAAAAGTTCAAGTTGGCTATTTCCTGCGTTGAATTCGGACACGTCTGGGAGCAAGTCCTAATGCGTACGTCTACGCTGAAGCAGAAAAAGTGTGGTATCCATTATTGACATTTTCGTGTCAGCCTAACGATACATTACAGTCTTGATTATGCTGTTTACCGGTACGAAAAAAAATAGAATTTCTAACAAAATTAAACTTTGAAGTGTATTAATCAGATAATATATTTGCTCCTAATAGCTGGCACTACCACAGACAATTGGACAGTTGACATGTAATGGCTAATAAAATATAGGTCACTATGATTTGACAATTTACAGATATGTGATGCACCTGATTATTTTACAGTGCCTTCACCTGATTATTTACTTACGTAATTGCGGAATGAGTACATGTGCTTCCTAATCCGAATTCACTGTATCCCTTGGAATTTGATTATATAACCCAGCCGTATTAATTCTGTATAAAACCCACGGTTTTGCCCCACGCTGGTTGTCTGTGTTCCAGAGGCGTGTGGTCACCATAGCTCCCTGTAGACTGCAGTTTGTGTATTTATGGATTCGGTCTTGTTCTGTTTAATTAATCAATTATTTGAGTACGGAAAAAGTCTGTGTTCACCGTCTTTAATTTACCGAGTCCTTCATAGTTAAAATTGTCAACTTGAATCCCGGATGGCCGATTGAAGTTCGTCCATCACAGATATATGAGAATCAGTGCCAAACAATCTGCTAAAAAAGCGAGAAATTGAAATAGACAAAGCGATGAACAAATAAAAAATCGGCAAAACATAGTTAAAATAACACGGGTGTTTTATAGGATACCGTACTCCTCTGATTTATGAGGTGTGAGCGCGCGTCCTAGAGACATGAAGATATGACCGTGAGTGACGACTTGTTTCCCCTGATGAATGTTCTTCGAATCGTTTACAGTCTCCATATTACATTCGGACCCTTTCATTCGGCACCGAAAATGCCCAGCGGGATCCCGAGAGCGGGAAACAACTTCGTGTGAATACCAAACAATGGCAAAGCACGATCGGCTGTAAAATCCAATTCCAGCTGTCCGCTTGATGGAAAATTATGGGCATGCGAAATAGAGAATTGGCTGTAAAACGTATAGAGGGAAATCACACCTCCCTTGGTTGAATTATTCGTCAAAGCTTACCTGCATTGATCACGAGTAAGCCTATATTCAAAGGCTATGTCAACTAATTTGCATATAAATCACTTAATTAGATTATTGAAATATTTCATGGAAATTTATTTGTACATTTTGAAATTACATTATTTACAGTGTATACACTTCCATTTTGCACAGCAATTAAATGTGTTTCTGTGATATGAGTCGTAGAGGTATAACTTGAATAAATCGTAAGGTATCTCTTTTTAGAGACACAATCTAAAACATAAAAAGGGCTTGCGCTTAAAACGGTATGTTTTTGTGGGAAAAAAAATAACTTTTTCTAAAAGTCAGCATTCTCGTAACAGTTTTTACAAATAAGTAGTTTGGGATTGGCTCTTTCAGCCGACAAACAGTTACTATTAATGTGAACAAGATCTCGAGGTTTCACAAGTCCAATGTTTTATTCAAGTCAGTTGAAGATTGTATACGTTTTGTCTTGATTAAGGGAATTTAATGTGTGCTCTGGAGGTTTTTATCACTCGTTTAATACCGCTTAGAGTCTGGGTGCTGATAATTACCCGAGCCGGAGGCGAGGGTAATTATCAGCACCCATACTCTAAGCGGTATTAAACGAGTGATAAATACCGACCGAGCACATATTTATTCCCATTCATAAATACCTTATCCGTAAAAAAATTTCAAATAATTCGTTCAAAAAATCCCGATTTTGTTCAACAAGTTCACTTCATGCTTTTTGAAACATCCCTCTAGCAAAATAATGGAGTGTTCAGCTGGCGAGTAAGATGTAAACAACCCTTTTATGGAGATTGACGCACGCGTAACATGTTCTGCGCGATGTCACGCAGAACGCACCTGGGGCGTTGCGTTTTGAATTTAGAACTATACAATTCTGACTCGCTTGTAGTGTTGCGCATGCCTACGTGAGGATTGTGAACGTTCAACCAATGAAACGGTAAGAGGCACTGGATTTTTAGGAGTCCACATTTTATTGTGACACTGGAAAAGTGTTTAAGACCAGCTAGCCATGTCTTTATCATCCGTTTAATACCGGCCACGTGACGGGCTCTCGACCAATAGGAATAGCTAAACTGTCTGAGGTATTTATGAATAACGTTTTAAGCGACGTTTCTACCTTTAAAACACTGCACATATCGTCTCTCATACCTAGGCGTTCACATTGAAAACGTCTCCGTTTTTTGATTACCTCTAAAGACCACAGTACACAAGACTCTACAATGAATGTAACCTGAGAGGAATTACCTGAAGAGGTTTATCATATCTCAAAGCTTCTATATACACAAAACTACATTATTTCGAATATGATAGATTCTATTTGCCGATACCGACTCTTTCCGTGAGCGGGGGAGGGGATAGTCGGTGAAATTATCAAATTACAATCCCTTTGTTTTCGGATGACAAGGATGAGGAAATTTGAGACAAAATGTTCAGTCGTTCGGTGATTGCTCGCTGAACGCTAGCATTAGCTTTCACAGTACAGTGCCATACGGCGAACCACATGCTCCACAAAATCGCTCGATCGTCATATTACAATGTAATTTAATAGGCCCATTTCTTTTCGAAATGAAACGGCAGCATGTGGGAAGCG